AATCACTTAATGAAAAACCTGTAAATTTCTTTGGACTTCTGCACAACTCAGTGCTGATAGTCAAAATGTAGGACTATTATGGCAGTAGTATGTTTTCTTTGTCTCTTTTCTTAAGATTTCAGTACAGATCAGTTGCATATTTAATGTTGGCTCAGGCTGGAAACCTGCAGCTTTTGACTTAATAAAAAAACCTGGAGTGGTCACTGGAACGGTGCTGTTCCTTCTCTGGTGTAATGAAAAGGAAAAAAATACCTGAGTTCTGCTGCACTGCTAAGAACTGTTTCAACATGGAGCCTTCTTTTTTTGTGGTTATTTTTGTTTGTGTTTATAATCAGTAGTAGCCAGCTGACTTGCTGGGAAATCTTCTGGGATGTAGACCTGAATAATGATAAATACTGTGGAAGAAACAGATCGCACTTGTTCAAACTGTAGCACTTAATAGCTGGAGCTAGGAGGAAAGCCTGGATGTCGGTCACTTCTGAACTCTAATACCCGTCAGATGTGTACTGAACTGTTGAAAATTAGACTTGAAATGTACTGCTGTTTTCCTCAAATCCTTCCCCCAGCTACATTGAACGAAGAAAGGGGGACAAGTCATGTACTTGTGTCAGCAGTGATGTGAACTTAAGGTGTTTGCTGTGGTCACTCAAGTAATCTAGAATGCTGTCTGAGGAGGGGCATTTTATTTCTTTTCTTCAGTCTCTAGAGGTTTCTTAAAGCAACTTCACTGTAATAACTTTGGATTCATAAAATAATGCTGCTTTTTTTAAGTCAAGTGTAAGCCTTCTGTTTTTCTGTAATAAAAAGGATTTAAAAGAGCTTGTTTCCTTTGGATTAATTTACAGTGTCAAGCTTAGATGTTACATATTGTCTAGGCGGCTGTGTCCTGGGATAGGAAAGTGTAAGTGTACTTTAGGCCCCCAGTCATGCAGTGCAGAAATGCAGCTGGTATGCTGCAGGATTTTCAAAATAGTCTCTAGAGGGGAGTGTATATTTGCTTGTCTGTGATTTCGTGTGCACTCTAGCAGTATAACACAAATGAATTTCCGAAAAAGAGATTTTAAAATACCAGACCTACAGGAGTTTCTGGAGCAAAAGGAACCTGAGTCAGCCTGAACTAGCTTACATTTCCTCCTGGAAGCACTTGAGTAGTCTTGGCACTTGGACGTGCGCAGTCTCATGCTGCTTCATTGTTTACCTGGGCTGCTTTAACAGCTCTTGTCCACACTGTGGTGCTCACTGCTTAAAGGACAGAAGGATGGCGCTGTCAGACATATGCGGTGATGAAGATGGCACAAAAGTGCTTCATTCTCATTAAGTACTTAAGTAAAAAGTTCAGCTTGCTCTGTTTTGGTCCAGAACTAATTTACCCTGTTCCTCTTTTGTCAGCATGTTTGGAGAAGCAATTGTATTTGGAGGAGTGGGAGGGTGGAGAATTGAGCCAAAAGCTCAAGTCAGTGAAAATGGTGCAAAAACCAGAATGTATTTCCCTTAAGCTGTTGAAATCTGCTGAGACTACAGATGTTTCAGGCTGTGTTATCCTGTGATAGACTGGTGCTGGCTCTCAAATCTCGGGGAGCAAAGCTACTTCCTGCAGTATTGTTCTCATCACTGAACACATCTCTTAACAGATCGAATCACACAGAGCTGTGGCACCTGATATTGCTGGAACCAACAAAGACAATTTTGACAGTATTGTGCTGAATGCTTTGTTGAGCTCCTGGGAGGTTTTCCTAAGCTGCCGAGGCAGTGTACATGTTCCTGAAACAATTTTCTGATTTCTGAAATTTTAACCATTTTTAAAGGATTACTGCGACTATCCTCTATATAGTTTACTGACATAAAGCACCATTTAGCAGCTGATGTGAACTCTCCTGTTGCTATCGAACCTACTTCTGCTTATACACTGAGGAGTAGAAAAATGCAAGGATAGCAAGATACATAGGCTACAAGTATTTTACATAAAGCATTTTTGAAAGGAGAATTGTGACTTTCAACAATAAAACCTTTAAAGAAAAGCAAGGAAACCTCTAAGGTGATTACTAGTAAGAGGAATAGAATTGCTTTGTAGCTCAGTTGCAAGGTTGGTGTAGTCTTCATCTGGGTTGATGACAATCCTGACCAAAATGGTGGGTGGTTTTAGGCTGTCTTGAGTTAAGAGATGGAAGCTGTGCTAAGCTCTACAGGTGACATATGAAGGGGATGAAAATGCATAGACAGAAGGAATGGGAGAAAGGAATGGAGGAGGGGCCATATGGTTTCATACCAGTGTCTTGTGCTATGAGCTATGTTTAACATGAACTCCCACTGCTGTGCATGTAAGTCCTTTCAAAAGAAATCTACTCTTTACTTACTGCAGAGAGCCTTTAGCTGTTAAATTTGCCTGCCATACAGTGAGCAGCATTACTACCAAGTCAACGTTTTTTTGTGGAAGTTTTTGCTGTTTCTCCACAGAAATATACACCCTAAGTTAGTCAAAATAAGATACTTTAATGGTCATCATTTGTTCAAACAAGACCAGAACCCCAAGTCTCTTTTGTCTCAGGTTGCTTGCTATACCTCTGCTTTAAAGGAATGACAATTTGTAGCGTACTTAAATTTGTGCTAAGGTGGCAACTTGTAGTCTTAATACTTTCAGGAATTAAAGATCTAATCAATAATGTAGGATGTGTATTTTCATCTTAAGGAAGTGCCTTGGCTTTTTTTAAATTAAAAAAAAGGATGTATTGCAATAGTGGCTACAATTTTATTATTTACTTGAATAGTAAATGTTGACTCTTAATCTAAAATAGACAATATGCGTTTATAGACTGTTAAAACTTTGTCACAACATTAAAGAAAACAAAAAGACTTTATTACTTCAGTATCTAAATTTCTATTCCCCTCCCAAAGTAATTTTTTTTTTCTTTTGTCATGGAGTCATTTTGACTTGGAACTGACTGTAACTTTTCTGTTAATCTTATTTTTTTTCTTAGCATGATTTTATAAAAAGCATTTGTTCAAATATTGTGACAGCATACTGTACTTGAAAAATTGAAATTTTTCAAGTAGACTTTTCATGCAGACTGGTGATTTGGATGGCCACTGGGTAATTTTGTTCATTTCCTCTTTGCTTTTGTAAAATAATGTCTTTTTTTGATCTTAATTTTGCATATTAGGCCAGTTGAGCCACTTCTCCTTAGTGCTTCTTGTGGGATCAGACAATTAATTCACTAAATAGATCTTGCTGTTCTCAGGTTTATATTATGATCTACTCATTAACATTTTCTGAAAGCAGACTATAAAGTTGAAATAAAATAAAATCCCCATACAGATACCACTATAAAAATATCAGAGGTTTTTTGTAAGATATTTTTTGAGATTATTTTGTTAACAAATTGTTAAATCCTCAAGCATCAGAATAACTTTCCTGTCCCTGAGCAGAACATTTGGTAGAAGAGGAGATATTTCAGCAAAAGGGTGCTCCTATGGTAGACTGCATCTCAGAGGGTGTAGATGGTCTGTATAGAAATATAAAGTTTCTAGGAATAAAATTCCACTATGGAAAAAAAGAGATCTTCTTTACATAAAGTGGAAAAAAAGCTAAGGCTTCCTTCTTTTCAGTCACTATGAAAATTAAAATTAAGGGCATTTCCTGCAGAAGAAGGGAGAAATACTTGTTGGCCCAGACAAGCCGTTAACAATGCATTAGGTGCTTCTAAGATGGAGGAAGAGAGAAATTGCCTTCAGCAGATTTAACATGTAAAAGCTATGTCTGGCTCCCAGTGGACAAAATAATTATAAATTATGCTGTGTTTTCATGCAAAATTGTGCTTTATGCAAATAAGTACTTGAAAATTGAGCTAAACTTTGAGATGGCATTGTCGTGGTACACATTTTCCCCTTTCCCATCTTTTTAAAATACCTTTTTAAAAGCAAAAGCAGGAGGATTAGATAATTTTTGTCTTCATGGCTCATTTATTAAATCCTCAAATGCATCAATTCCATTCAAAAATGCTGTGGGTTGCAAGAGATGGTTCAATATATTGTGGTGTTAACTTCTTAAGATTTATCTGATACTACTGTGAGGTAAGAGGATCTAAAGTGTTTTGGAGTGGGTTGAAGGAGAAGAGGAAGTATGTTCTAAAAGGTAAATAGAAGTTTTCTTCTCAAGTCCTTTGACTGTCAGAATTACCAGATTATGAGAAGTTCTCCTTGGCTCTTTAAGGAGCTGGGGAGCTTCTTGTATCACATTGTCATGATTTAAAATAGAAGGATTTCTAGCAGAGGAAGGGTAAGTAATACTTGATTTCTAGAACAGGATTTAAATGAAGGTAAGAATCTGGAACATAGTATATTTCTATTTTTACACATTGCGTATGTGTTGTTCTAGTTTAAGCGGTCTGTCTAAGGAAAGCTGTCATTGATGTGAATCTGTGTTGGGTTTTAGTTTCCAGAGAGCACCTGGAATTGAAGCATAATTCAGAAGCACGGGATTCTTTCTGTGGGCTGTAGCTGCCTCAGCTTCAGATGTCAGAAATATAAATGCTAAAATACACTAAAAATAACACTTAGCTCACTTAGCTTTGCAAAGGCTCAAATCACATATGGAAAATGAATCCAACTTAGGTATTGTGTGTTAGCTAATGGAGAATGTTTAAGTCACAGATAATCAATCTCGAAGTTGCAAGCCTTCTTTTCGTTTCACAAATGGTGATTATGAGGTGGGAGGAATTTTTCATACTGACATCCTAAACTGACATCTAAAAAGTGTGATCTTGGCTAGAAATGTGCAACAAGGCTTGTAAGGGAATGAAGTTTGCAATGAGGGTAAAGTTATGGCGATCTTGAAGTAAGACTATTCCTCATGTTTAGCTGCAATGGCAGCTAGGGAAGAGTTGTAAAGTAAACGCATAATAAAATAATGACGCTTGTAATATCCACGTTCAAATGATGTGCTACTCTACCATGCCAGTCATCTTTAGAGAGTGTTAATAAGCCTGTGGTTCCGTCAGGATATGATGCGCCTTGTTGGTAAGAAAAAGGGAAGTTTCCATAGCACTGGCATTTCTTTTCACTTCTTCCCTTTGGAAGAATAAATGCCTCCATGCTGACCCTTGGTGTGAACTAGCGCTGCTAATCTCCAAGCCAGTTGCTTTTCCCACACCATTTCCCAGGAGCAGGACCTTGACTACAGCATCTCTGGCGAACAGCAGCTTTTGCAGCCTGTCTCACATGTGTGGGTCACCCATGGTGGTTTTCAGAAAGAATTAGAAGTTGGCCACACAGGACAGGAGCCAGAAAAGTGCTGGTAGAAGAGACTTTAGGAGCCCCAGCTTTGACACCCAGGACGTGTGCTGCTGTGCACAGCTTTAATGGCCATCTGTGGGCACAGGGGAAAGGACGCTTTACACACTTCAAAAAGGCATCATTGCATTGCTGTGATGATGTATCATAAGGTGAGGAAGGATACATGAGGTGCAGAGGTGAGCAGACTCAAAAGCCTGTGGGGTATTTCCTCTGCTCAGGCCCATGCATGCTTGTTTGAAGCTGGGACAAGGCCACTCTGTTTTGGGGACAGCAAGTTCATGGTCACAGACAGAGGTTGGTCTGTTCCTGTTGGTCCTTGGGCAGTGAACTTGCCCTGTCATGTTTCAATTAGAGTGCAGACATGCCATGGAGCATTAGGTTCAGTTTCTGGCCATCTTCCTTTGACGTGAAGCACAGTTTTAAGCGAGTTACTTAGGCCATAGTTTCATTATACTGCAACTTTAATGACAGTGCTGGCTTAAGGAGTTTCTATCCTCATACCTTTGTAGGCTGTCCTTCAAATTATGGCCAGGCAGGCTATTGGAAAAGCAGTGCTATGAGTGGAGCAATGAACTGATCCAGGGAATACAACTCCTTGGACAGAACATTGTGACAGCATATGAGACAGCAAGAGTTTGGAGGAAGCAGCAGAGTGGGAAACATTTTAATTACAAGCTGGCTATGCTGATTTAGATATTTATTTTGCCCTTTACTTGCTCCCTTCAGAAACCAAAGGTGATTTACCGAGTCCTTTCAATGAAGAAACTGTGGGTTGCTATCTCAAGATCCCTCTTTCAGTACTGAAGTAATATTGTTGTGTCTTAACATCTCCTTTCTAGGACGGTTAAAATGGAAGAAGAAAAATCCGAAACCTTGTCATGTTAGACAAAATGCATCTTGCAAGGGATATAACTGGGCGAGAGTGGGAAGGATGTACAGAGTATAACTCTGGGGAGTCACTGTCACAGGGATGACTCACTAGGTTATACATTTGTAGACAAATTCTGCTTTACAGCTCAGCATGAGCATTTCAAACCATAAAAGGCCTGAAGTCTGAGTCCAGACTCAGCAATCCATTTCATTTGTGCATGACTACTTATACAAATAACCAAGAGAAACAGGACCTTATGGGAAATGTTATGGGAAGGAACAGGATTTCCAGACTTGCTTTTTAAAAGAAAAAATTGTTTCGTGTATGGAGAAAACAACTAAAGGAATTTTAGACCAATCCATCTGGCATGTAGCAATTGCAAAATTTTTTGGTATAATTTTCTGTATGAGAATATAAGAGCTTTATGAGCTGGATAGATTTAAGAACTATTGCAAGACAAGGTCAAATGAAAACCTCAAATGTCTGGAATACTTTATTTTGGAAACACTTCCCAAGTTAGATGAGAACAATGTTGTTGTAACCTTGAAGAATCAGAGGAGACAGTACCAAATGTTATATATTTTATATTCTTAGTAACTTGACAGAAAAGCAAAAGGAATCTTTAACTAGCAGTGGCCAGAGAAGTGCGCTGACCACTAGGGACAGCACTGACCCCCCCGTGTGACTGAAAAGATCACTTTCTTCAACCAGGTGATCATTTGCCTGTTATATCCAGCAATTTACTCTGTTTTCTTTCACTTCTTCTTCCCATTGCTCTAATTTTCATTGTCTCCTTTTGTATTTTGCATTCTTTTACCATCTTGTTTCCCCTGCCTTTTCCCAAGCTTTTTTTAATTTTTTTTTTTAATCTCTCATTATGTCCCTCCCTATATAATAGCAGTGTAAATATACATAAAAAACAGATGACACTGTAACAATAAATAATTAGAAATCTTCATTCAGGCTACTGTGTGACCTCTCACATAATTTCATAACGATTTTGTTTCCTTAGTGGTCCAACATGCTCAATATTCTAGTATTTTACATAGGTTTGCTCATTAATTTTGACTGGCTGAGTTGAAAATAATGGGCTATTTTATTATTGAAATAAGAAAAATAATTGTTCCAGGTAACTTGCAGGTTTGAGATTGAATAGATTTGTATGCAGCACAGAAAACATGTTATCTTTGAACTTTTTGCTTAGGAATTACAACATTTTATTCCTGTATTTAGAAAACTGTAGAAGTTTATATTTGCTTCTTTTGAATTTTTGCTGCAGTTAATTGAGGATTTAAGGCTTCCCTTCAGTGATGAACATACAGATAAGCATTTACTGATTAGTTTTATCTTGAACTCGTACGATAAATATGGCCTTGCAAGCTACTTTCTCCCTAAGCATTTATTAATTTTCACGATTACTGTAGAAACAAAGTTATCTGCTGCTCTTGCTGTTCATATAGTTAATCTTAGGATCAGCAGTTGATGTTCTCTTAATTAGAATGTGTATGCAAAACATATTTTTCAGATTTAAAAAGCAATATGAGCTTTTGTTTTTTTCTTCAGAGTCCTTTTCTTTCCTCCTTGTCTCCTGTTTTTATAGTTTTGAGTGAAACCTAAAGAAAAAAGATAATGTGATCTAGAAGGGAATAATTTTAATGCAATGGCACAATGTCTGTGAAAAACACAATGGTTACTGTCGAAGAGTTGATGTTCTCTTGGCAGAACTATTTTAACTGAGTAGAACTAATGTTCTTTGTTTTTCCAGACTGCTGTAATGGTGCTCTGATTCTCAAATAGCCAAGGTTTATTCATAGAGACCTCTTTCTCCTTTTCTTGTTAACACAGATAGAAACAAACTGCCTTAGAAACAAACTACTGTGTCCCATGCAACTGATAAGCCACGAAGGTAGTTCTCAGAATGAAAAGATCTCATTTTCCTTGTTTGAGATATGACCAGTGCTTATGTAGCATTTACAAGAATAATTCCCAATTAGTCCAAATAGTTTATGCTTCAATAGAAATGTAAGATCTCTGTGGATTTTTCAAATGTTTCTACCACTGCAGTTTATTACCTTTTTGCAAGGTAATTTTTTTTTGTGAATTACTTGTTTGACAGTGGTATTGTGTTAGCAAACTTCTAGTTTTGCAAGCCCTAAATTTCTGTGCAACCTACAGAAATGCAACAGGAAAAATGATGATTCAGCAAACGGTGTTTTGTAGAATGCAACCCCCAAACATCACAAAAGTTAATTTGCCTGTATTCATTAAATTTTAGGATTAGGACTGCTAGTTAATGTAATTTCTAGCATGTCTGCTGCAATAAGCTGAAATGTTCAACTTTTTTTATGGTGTTGTTTAGGCTATGCCACACCCCAAGTCTCTCAATAAAAATTGTATTAACTTGGTTCTGCAGCACTGTAGTTGAAGTCTGGTAAACTGGGGTTCCTTGAAATATTGAACCACATGATTCTGAGAGATAAAAGACTAAGGTAATATGTAACTTGAACAGAAGTTGTTCTCAGATTCTTCAATGCAAAATAACCTTTCCCTTTCAACTTTCTAAAACACAACTGGTTGAAACAAAATTTTAAACTAATTTACTTCACTCTCATTGTTTTTGCATTCCATTTAACAATCAGCGCCTTAATGTTTTTCTAGAGTAAGTTGCTGCATAATGGTAAGTAATCTAAGTTTATAATTTTACAGACTCCATACAGCTACACAGTTGCTATGAAATGTCTTTATATGTGAACAGTGGAAGCATAGAAACAATTGAACTGCCTTTAAAACTGAAAATCCCAATGAGAGACATTGAGAGAAGAAAATATAAAATTTCAAAGTAAATTAATCATTATTAAAATAAAATTTTATAATTTTTTAATTATTTTATTTTATAAAACTAGAATTTTATTTTATAAAATTTACTTTCACACAGGTAGCAATGATAAAATGCCTATTTAAATTAATATCTATGTCTTTCCAGTTTAATATATTAGTATGAGGGCAATATTAAAGTATTGTTTAATTATCCATCCTTTAAGTCTTCTGAGATTCAGGAAAAAATCATACTCATGAATAAAAAGAGAAAAAGATTGTAACTGTCAGTCGTTTGTATAATTCAATTTTTTAACAGCACATGATTCAGTTACTAAGGAGATTAATAGAGAAAATATAGATTTTTTTCCCCAGAAAACTACTTCTAGAATGTCATGGGAACAAATCTGTAGTTAACATTTTGCATTTTTTAACAAAAATTTAGATAGTACTGAACAATTGTTTGTGAGACCAGACCATGGAATTTAATTGGGATTTCAAGTCCTAATCTTCCAATCGCTTCTTTCTGTTAACAGGGTAATCTTAGTAAATACCAAGTCTCTGAATCTGTGTGTTAATGTGGGATCTTAATAATCAACAGCCTAAACCAGTCCTCCTAGTTCAAGGCAACTGAAATATAATTGAATACTTAGAAGTAATTCAATTGGGGGAAAAAAAGCATAGCAAAGTAAAAGAAAGAAAGAAAATTCAAATAATAATGTTTTAAAATCTTTTCCTTTAATGTTTTCTCTTTGCAATGTTCTAACATTGATTCATGATCCTCACCACTCAGAAGAGTCACTTAGTGACTCTTTAGTTAAAGTCAACCAATAAAACCCAGAACTGGCTATTAATGCTTTATATTTGAAAGTAATTGGTCAGCAGTTTAAATCATTTATATAACTGGTCAACTGCTCAACTGTTTAAAATTCTAGTATACATGTTTGAGAGAAAGACGATTGTCAGTTAAAAAATCCTACTACTCAACAGAGGGACTATATTGCTACAAGGAATTGTAGGTTTTAAGCTCTAAAATAGT